CGACAAAAATCCTTCCTCGAAGACCTCCGTCTCGCCACCTACGCCGCCTGCCTCGCCTCCTACATCCAAGGCCTGAACATCATCGCCGCAGCCGACGCCCAAAAACACCTCAACGTCGACTACCCCCAACTCCTCCACATCTGGCGCGCCGGCTGCATCATCCAAGCCGACTACATCTCCACCAAACTGCTGCAGCCGCACTACCGCACCTCCCCGGCCACGAACCCCCTCTCCGCGGCCCCCATCGCCCACGACCTCCGGAAATCCTTCCCCTCGCTGAAAAACGTCGTGGTCAAAGCCACCGAGGCGGATCATGTCGTGCCGTCGCTGTCGGCGACGTTGGAATACCTCAAGTTCATGACGAGCACGGATCTTCCGACTTCGTTTCAGGAGGCGCAGTTGGATTATTTTGGGAGACATATGTTTGATGTCAAAGGGGAGGATGTGGAGGGGTTGCCGAGGCTTGGGGTGAGGCATTATGAGTGGAAGGAGGCGTGAGTGGGGGGAAGGAATGAATAAGAAAGATGAGGGGCGTTTGTCCATCCACATTCCCGCGTTCAAAAAAAAAAAAATTCATTCGATTCGGAGAAAGGGGAAAATGAGAAGAATTTTTCCATGTCCCATCTTAAGAAATATATATTTTTTTTTTGAATGTAAAGGAGGAATGAATCTACCACTCTCTATCTATCTACAAACCATCTACTCGTCACTCATCATTCATCATCATCATCATCATCATCAACGTTCTCCACCACATCACTCCTATGTTCCCGTAACATTTCCGCAGCAGGACCCTGTTCGAGAATTCTGCCTTTACCGAGAACGATACAGTAATCGGCATTCCTGACAGCCTCGAGACGATGAGCGATGGTGATGACGGTGCTGTCTTTCATCTCTTCATGCATGACTTGCTGGATCTGCATGGCGGTATCGCGATCGATTGATGCAGTTGCCTCGTCTAGGATAATGATTGCGCTTCTCCTCAAGACCGCACGTGCGAGGCCGACGAGTTGACGCTGTCCTTGGCTCAGATTCTTGCCTCCGGCTTCGATGTTGGTGTCGAGGTTCCAGTTCTGTCTTTCGCAGACTCGTTTCAGCACTGTCTCGCATTCCTCGTCGCCGTGCAGATTCACTGGATCTAGGTTCATACGCATCGTGCCGGGGAAGAGAACGGGATCTTGGGCCAAGAATGTGATTCTGGTTCGCAGGAGCTGTTTGTCGACTTTGGCTAAATTGATCTGGTCTATGGTGATGTCTCCAATCTCTGGGATGATGGTAGCCAGGAGGGACAATGCGAGCGTGCTCTTTCCCGACCCGGTCCGTCCAATGATAGCAGTTTTCGAACCTCCTTTGATCGTGAAAGAGATGCCTGCTAGTGCAGGATCGAGATGAGGAGCGTACTTTATGATCACATCCTTGAACACGACGTCGCCATTAAAGGATGGCCACCAGGCGGGAGGACTGACGTCTCCCTTCGGCTCTTGTTCCAGATGTAGGAGTTCGACCACCCGCTCAACAGAGACAAACTCCATCTGAAGCTGACCGTACTGCCTACAAAGGCCATGTGTAGTCACGACGAACTTGGTTGCAGCAAGCAGGGCGAATGCAGTCAAGCCAGGCGAAAGGTTGGTCGCCAACGCAAGGACAAAGAGCAGGAAAGTCGCCAAAGATGCCAACACATCGTATCTGTACATGAGCCAGGCCTGCGTACTCCAATAGAAATGGTCCATCTTTTGGAAGGTGTCGACCACGTGTATGACTCGGTCTTGAAAGCGAGACTGAGCGGAAAAGGCTCGAACAGTGGCCAGGCCATTGAGCAATTCCCCGAAGTTCGACATCAGAGGCGTGAGGGACACCATCTCCAGTCGTCGCAGATTCTGTGATGTGGGAATGAAGCGCTTGAAGATCAGGACAAAGAGTATCGCAAGTGTGACGGTGAAGACCAAGAAGGCCGGTGTTATCGACGCAATCACCACCACCGCCGATAGCCAACTAATCATCAGCCAGGATATGCTCGAGAATTGCTGGCTGATGCCGCCGTCAATGACGCCGATGTCCGAGGTCATGCGATTCATCAATCGACCCACAGGTGTAGTGTCGTAGAAGCGGAAAGTCGCATATGCCACCTTCTCCATGATGTCGCGGAACATGTTCTTTGCTGCAGTATAGACGATGACCAGAAGCATACCTTGGGAGGCGACGTATGAGAGCGATTGCCCAATCGCCAAGAGAAGGAATGTGATAAGCCATGGCTTGATGTTCCGGTCAGGCGGTGGTAGGCCGTCAAACAAGTCCGAAGTGTGGTAACCTACATCATCATTGTAGATGAAGACATCGACGTTCGCCTTGGTCTGGTATGCTTCTCCCCAGGATTTGATGAACCATGCTTCAGCCAATGCAAACCCGCGATAGCTCAAGAGTGCGAACACGGTAAGTGCCCAGAAACGAAGATCTCCAGCTTTGATGTACTCCCAGTAGACGGAAGCTTTCACTCCACCGTACGCACGATGCTCGTCTTGGATGAATTTTTCGGGCACTGCAGCAGCCTTCTGCTTCTTCTTTTGGTCTTCATCTTGAGCTTCTTCGGCCTCTTCTGCCGCAGGAGTCTTCGTGGCTGGCGCGGCATCATGATCAATAATCGCGGCTTTGCCGTCCGTGAGCTCAACGAGCTGATCGGCGACGGGCAAGACCAGATCAGTCCTGTGTGTGACCAATACAGTTGTCCGACCTTTGAGCAGAGGTCCGGTGAAGCACTCCTGGACAATTGACTCCGCTGTTTGCTGATCTAACGCCGCGAGTGGGTCATCGAGGAGAAGAATCTTGGTGTGACTGTAGACCGCACGGGCGAGAGCGACTCGTGCTCGCTGCCCACCTGAAAGACCAATGCCGTTCTCGCCAATCAAGGAAAGGTCGCCAGCTTTGAATTCCGCCAAGTCTGGCGTGAGCGCACATGCGTCCAGGACAGCCTGGTATCTTTCGTCATCGTACGGCGCAGAGAATAGGATATTTTCGCGAATGCTCATGCTTTGAAGCCATGGCATCTGAGCACAGTAACCGATCGGCTCGGGAGGTCGAATGAGTTGGCCTTCAAGCATGTCAAGTTCGCCGAGAAGTGCTTGCAGCAGAGCAGTCTTTCCCGACGCGACCTCGCCAATAACGACCGTGAGACCTTCCGGGAACGAGATATTGACCTCCTTCAGGACAGGCTCGGAAGCACCAGGCCACGCAAAGGACGCTTTATCAACGGCAAGTTTGTCTCCAATCAGCGCTTCTGTGGCCATCTCCTGTAGGTCCGGTTCAGCCATGAAGTCCTCAATACGCTGTACAGCTACCCAGGCATTGATCAGAGAAACTATAAGCCCGGGAAGCTCACGCAGCTGACTGGTCATCATCGCAAATAGTTGTAGTGCGGGAAAGGCAATATCCACGGTGAGCTCTTTCTTCGCAATGACCGTGTAGCTGAAGAATGCTACTACGGGAACGAGATCGTACGACAAGGTATTCACAAATCCAATGACCAAGTTCCAGGCGTTGGAGATGACTCGAAGTAGCAGTTCTCGCTGCCGGGCTGTCAACGCTTGATTGAGCCAGGTCTCTTGCCAGCCATACCACCTCAAATGCCGGATCGCTTCGACGAATTGTGATACGATTTGCAGCTTCGCATCTGTTGCGAATCGTCGTTTCTTTTCGTAATGTACCAAGATTCGAGCCAGAATGGCATTCATCACCTGAGCCAGGAAAACAAGACCGACGGCCATCATGGAAGGCCAGCCAAGATAGTTGACGACCAGGGTGATGGACAAGACAATGGCTATGGGCTTGCGAATGATGGAGTCAAATTCCCAGAATCGTTGCGCTACTTCGTATACATCGTTGCGCATCAAGTTGAGGATCCTGCCCATGGAAGCGGGTTCCTTGACAGGAGGTGGCGGCTTGTTCTTTTGGAAGAACTTCTGGAACCAGCGCTTCTCAGAAGGGCTCGACTCGCCATTCGCCGCAGCATTTCGAGCGCTTTCTTCTGGCTGCGCCTCCTTCTTCTCTGGCGCCTTGAAAGCGATCTTCCTGCCGAGCGTCTTTTCGTATAACATGGTGATCATCTCTCCTCGACACCGCTCGTAACACCTTCTGCCGAACCATATTTGGAGGGTATCGAGCTGCGCGGAAATGAGCCTGGTGGCCAGAGAGAATGCAGCATATGTCAATGCCACCCGCTTCGGTCGTTCGGGATCCTCCATTGAGCTCAAGATGAGCTGCAAAAAGACGGGCGCGCCGTAGTCGGCAAGTTGGTCAGTGACTCCAACGGTGGTGACAATGATCAGGTCGATAGCGTTGGCTCTGATCAAGCGCTGGATGACTGTGCCTCGCAATTTGCGGAAATTCTCGTGGAGTCTCCGATGCTGGAAGTCGTAGGGAAGAGACCAGACATCCTCGTCTTCCATCTGCCGCTTGCTGCCGACATTCAGCATGGGTATCAGCCAGCTGACGGTCATGAATTGGAAGAGGCTCAGATTCTCCTCGGGACTGCGCAGAAGCGAGCTCGGGGTCGTGCCTGGCAGACTGATATCTTTCGAAGGCAAGAGAGGGTCTCGGAAGGGCATCGTCAGAACAAGAAGTATCGTCAATACGCCGAGAAGTGTCGTGGCAATCCAAAACGGGAGATATGATGAGGATTTCCGCACTGCCCACTCGAGTAAGATGGCCTCGGTTAGCGTCTGAAGGATTGTGATGGTGAATATCGAGTACGGCAGGGTTCTTGGCAGAAATAAATAGACCTCGAGGGCCATTACTAGCCATGATGCCAAAGTCGGTAAGGTCCAGAGCAGTGGCCTGCTGGAGAGGAGAATGGGAAGAAGATGCAGCAAGAATGCAAGGCTGCATGTCACTGCGAGTCCCAGCGTCTGCAGCGTCCATGTCCGGCGCGGAATGAGGTCCACGTCGAGGACGGGCTCAATGACTTCCTGAACAAACGGCCTCGTCCAGCGAGGCTGCCAAGACCGCGGCGCCGTGAAGCGGACAAACTGGCCCAGAACGACGAGTGCCGCGAAGATGGCCGGAATGGCAGCGACGACGGGAAGGAAACATTCTCGGAAGCGCGCTTCTTGCTGTATCCACGGCTTCGTCAAGCAGATGCCGCCTCCATTGCCCGATTCGGTGATGCCGCCGTAGTCGTAATCGTAGTCGGACGTGCCGCCGCCGAACACGATCTGATCCATATCGGCTCTCCTAGTTCTCCTTACCGCCCCGCAAACCCATCGGATGAAGTTGAGAGTACAGAAGTCCTCATGATGGCAATGGCAATGGCGATGGCGATGGCGATGGCGATGGCGATGGACTTGGCAATGGCGATGGCGATGGCAATGGCAATGGCAATGGCAATGGCGATGGACTTGTGCATGCCTTGCTGCTGCCTGATGCAAGGAGGCCGCTGCAAAGGATGCCGTCGTGTGTGCGTGCAGGATCGATGGAGTCACCGCCACGCACCATCCCATTCGCCTGCACGAGACGAGGTGCATCCATCCCGCGGAGCAAACTCAATTCAGCCGGCCTTGGCATTCGTGGAGCGACATCACTCTTCGCCGACGATAAGATAAGCACATGCATGTGAAAGTAGAAAAGAGATGAATTCAAGACTCCAGCCGAATCGGCTCCAAATTTGCCGTCGGTACTGCTCGACACCATTAAAGCAGCTTGGCATCGCAGAAGCATGTCTTGTAGGCGACTGAATTCCTCCTCTTCTCACATCAATGCCATCCATATTTCTCACTTTTCACTTCCAATTCTCTCCTCTTGCCAGCCACGCCTTGTGTCTTACCCTGCGAGTCATCACAATCCACGTCTGCTCGCTTCCGAAATCCTACCATCCGATCGACGACGTGAGTTGCGAAAGACGTGCGCACTCGTAGTTAGAATCTTCGCGCGCACACGAAAGACGAGAGCACTTCCACCTTCCATCCCGCTTTGTCTAAGCGCCTTTGATGCTCGAGACGTCTCATTTCACTTCCCCGGGCTTCATCATGGTGTTGTTTGGTGCAGACGGCCTTGCCATGCCAAGAATGGATCGTAGGATTCTGGCATGGAGGATGGTAGATTTTTCGGGCAGAATTGCTGGTGCTTTTGGATGGTCGCATCGGTAGATGACTTGGAGCTGTGAGCACATTTTCGAGCGATTGCTTTGGGAGAGGATAGTGGTGTTGCTCTCGAAGGGATTGATGAGGCTAGGGTGCTGGTTGGAATGTGTGATCGCTGGCAAGGCTTTTGCAATGCGGAAACAATATCAATCGAGAGTCGTCAGATATTCTGCTGCTCGTTCTTGACGATTACACGTGAGGTTCGTCGTTATTGCCTGCATGCTGAGGCTTGGCAACCGCTGCCCTGCGGCGAGCTTTGTATATTCCGCGCTTCTTCTCAAATTTTCTCTCTTCAGCGACGACAAGGCACATTTGTATGTATCCATCCGCGCAACGACTGTACCATCAGATACTGACCTGTTTCCGTCAAACAAGCAGACACAACGACACAGTGAGTTATTCCTCCCCTCGCGGCTTTTGTTCGAGCAATGCTAATCACAGGTGAGCAGCACCACAACCACAACAGCAACAGCAGCAAAGAGTAAGTCCACCTCACCTCCCATACCGCAAGGTTTACATGGAAAGAGGTGGGAAAGAGAAGCCAGCGAATCGTCATCTGCGAGATCACAGCATTGCCACCGACCACGGAATTCGATGCAGACGCTCATAAGCAGCACGGCATGGGTCTGCTCGCTCCATCAACTACTAGTGGCCAAGGTCTTCCATGCTTTTTCGGAGTATCTCGTACTCAATCCTCGACCAGAAGCTCCGCGACAACTACTGGAGTGAAGTGATTCGCTGGCTTCACCGAGTATACATTTGCTGTGTCGGCTCCGTTGCTCGCTCGAGACTCTATCATTCAATGCTGATCCGTATGTGTTTTAGATGTGCCAAATCCGAGAGTACAAGACTCTTTGCGGCAATGGAGACTGCCGCCGAGTCGTCAAGAGCGAGTTCTTGGCGCGCACCTCGACCTGGTGCGACATTCGAGGTGGCAACAACCACGCCTCACGCCTTTGGGGCTGGTTGCACTGCCCCTCGAAGGCAGCACGCTGGTATATGCGATCGCAAGCTTTGGAGACCGAAGACAGAGTGCTGATCAGTGGGTGAATAGGGCCCGCAACCACGCCGCTCTTGTGCCGGTCTGGTTTAAGGCACCAGACCGTCGCCCGCAGACGTTCTGCTGGGCTTGCCGTCCGGCTCCCGGGGGGCTCTCGCCTCTCGGTGAGCTGGAGTGGCGAGCCAGCTTGTGGTATGCTAGAGTCCCGTTCATTTTCACCTACTCACCAGTAGCATCACCATCATCAGTCGAGCAAGCAGTATTTCCGCTGGACATTCCCTTCCAAGGACTTGGTTTCACTTTTATACACTGGAATGAATGGGCCTGTTGGGGAGCGCAAGCACAAAACCAGCCTGGATGAGGACGAGAAATGGGGTGGCCGGTGAAGGAACCATTCAGGCTCTCTCTCTTGGTCAAGGGCCACGGCTTCTCTTCTCGGATACGCCGCATGGTTGAGCATTCTGGAGCAATGGACATGATACTTCATTGGAGAGCCGCACCTCGTCCACGCAGTCGAGCAGCGTTATCGAAGCTATCATGAAGCTGAGGCTTCGCAGTTCTTTGCGCCTGAATCTGTGAACATGGCATTGATTGCGGATTCTTCTCGCAGCACCGATACGCCTCTTCCAGCAAGAAAGCGTCCCCAAAGCACATGACCTCCAACCCAGATAGCACCTTGAGATTCAGACTCGAAATCGCTTTCTGGCGCCACTGAGCTCGACTTCTACTCCAATCACCCAATAGTCCTCTCTTTGACCTCCAGATCGCGGATTGGGATAGAGAGGGCATTGGGCTTCTTCCAGTCGTCAATGAATGACATTCGCTCCAACGCTGCTCCTTCCTTGTGCCTCGTTGAAGGTCAAGATACGATCAGAGACTATAGCACCCCAGGCAAGCACGAATGCTGGAGGCGCTGCCATGGCCAGCATGTGACGCTCGTGCAACAAGAGTCTTCTGAGCTCGTCGGCTCGAGAGGCATAACCAGTCTGGTCTACTGCCAGAGGGAGACGACGTAGCGCCTTACCGGAGATATGGCCACTGGCTGTTGGAGTCGCGTTCTGACTTCTGCTGGATGTGAGCTCCACGAATCCAGGTCTGGTGCTCTCCTTTCCCTGGACGGCTTGATCTATCACTTTCCCCATGGTATGTCGAACGCCAGTCGACAAAGACCAGCGAAGCGGCTATACCAATTGGTTATAATCAAATTGCGACGCTCAGTTGCGTTGCGTGGTCCGTTGCCCACCTCGATAGCGCTAGCAGTCAATCCTGAAGAGTATGGTGGCAGCCAACGGAGGCTCTCCATGCCGAGGGTGTAGCCAAGGACACCAGTGTGGTCGCTTGGGATCGCAGGCTGAGGAAATCCGTTCTGGTATGCACCGAAGATGGTATGTCGAACGCCAGTCGACATTCTACGAGGCCGACCCGGACAGAGTGGAAATGGACTGAAGATGATGCTGCTTGCTCGACTGTGTGAAACGCTTTTCCCTGCCCTGCCCTGCTTTACCACGTGAAAGCGCGATCTCGGCACGTGTTTCCGAGAAAGCTTGTTCCCCGCATCACGTCTTCTGCCTTTCCCTCGCGTCTGCTTGCTCTCTTTCTGCCTGCTACATCTCACTGACATGCGCCACCAGAGCTCACCTCCGCCCACTCCACCACCGTCATGACTTCGCGGCGTGCGACGGCGAAGTCGACCTCTCTTGTGGGACGCCGCAAGATTGGGAAGACGAGGAAGAAGGCGGGACGCCGCCACGATGACGACCCGGCGGAAAGCGACGACGAGAACGACATGCTCGAGAGTACGCTGCCGCCGTACCTGCAGCAGAGGAGAGCGGAGCAGAGGGAGGAGGAGGCTGCGGGAGGCGAGGGTGCGCTGAGAATGCCGCCCTCACCTCCAGACGAACCAGAGCTGCAATGGCGGCGAGACCTCGCCGAGAAGCCACAATTGCCTGGCCTCACCGCGCCAGAGGCTCACGCAGACCGGCCGACGCTCGACGGCATAGGCAGCATCCCTGCGCCTATCGCCAAATTCCTGAAGCCCTATCAGGTGGACGGCACGGAGTGGCTGCACCGCCTGTTCGTCACGCAGAAAGGCGGAATCCTCGGCGACGACATGGGCCTTGGCAAGACAATCCAGATCATCGCCTTCCTGACCGTGGCCTTCGGCAAGACAGCAGACGAGAGAGACGCCAAGCGCATGCGCGTGTTCCGCAACAAGTACGAAGACCTCTGGTACCCGCGAGTCCTCATCATCTGCCCCGGAACCCTGATGGAGAACTGGAAGAACGAGCTCGACCGCTGGGGATGGTGGCACGTCTACACATACCACGGAAGCGCCGTCGAGAAAGACTCCGCTCTTGCCGCAGCAGCAAGTGGCCGCCTCGAGATCATGATGACTACATACACCACTTACACCAACAGCCAGGATGCCATCAACCAGATCAGATGGGATTGCGTGATCGCAGATGAGTGCCATTCCATCAAAAACCACAAATCCGAAACCTCTCAAGCCATGAATAACGTCAACGCGCTTTGCCGCATCGGCCTCACTGGCACCGCCATTCAGAACAACTACGAAGAGCTATGGGTACTGCTCAATTGGACCAATCCTGGCTGCGTCAGCTCCCTTGCCTCGTGGAAGCGCCGAATATGCGTGCCGCTCAAGCTCGGACAAAGTCATGACGCAACCAACTCTCAGCTGAAGAAAGCCCGCGATCTGGCCAAGAAGCTTGTACAGAACCTGCTACCAAGATTCTTCCTCCGCCGTACAAAGGCACTGATTGCACACCAACTACCCAAAAAGACAGATCGAGTCGTGTTCTGCCCACTCACCGAGACACAAGCTCAGGCATACAACAACTTTGTCGACCACGAACTCGTCCACGCGATTCGCGATTCTCAAGAGCCATGCTATTGTGGCTCCGGCAAGAAGCAAGGCTGGTGCTGCATGGCTTACGTTGAAGGATATGGGCCTTGGAACATGTTCGTATTTCCAGTGCTGCACACCATTCAGAAGCTTTCGAACCACCTCGCGCTCATGCTACCGACTGGCATCGCCGACCCAGAGAAACACGAGAAAGAGCTTGACGCGATGAAGATTGCCCTTCCAGATCTGTGGAAAGACCTGTACCAAACACGCGATAACATTAAGCACAAAGCAAATGCAGAATTCTGCGGCAAGTGGAAGGTATTGAAGAAGTTGCTGAAGCTTTGGTACGACAATGGTGACAAAGTCTTGGTCTTCTCGCATTCGGTGAAGCTACTCACGATGCTTGAACTACTCTTCAGGAGCACGACTACCTACAATGTGTCTTATCTCGACGGAAGCTTGAGCTACGCAGCTCGACAGGAGGCTGTGGACGAGTACAATGCAAACCCGAACCAGTTTGTCTTCCTGATCTCTACAAAAGCTGGAGGCATGGGCATCAACGTGACAAGCGCAAACAAGGTTGTCATCATGGATCCAAACTGGAACCCAGCATACGATTTGCAAGCACAGGACAGAGCATATCGGATCGGCCAGACCAGAGACGTGGAGGTCTTCCGTCTTGTTTCAGCCGGCACAGTCGAAGAGATTGTATATGCCAGACAGATTTACAAGCAGCAGCAGGCGCAGATCGGCTACAACGCATCGGTCGAGCGGCGATACTTCAAGGGTGTGCAAGGCCAGGCAGAGCACAAAGGTGAGATCTTTGGCCTCAAGAACCTTTTCGCCCCGCTCAAGACGAACGTCGTGCTGCAAGACATCGTCAACAAGACCAACATCGCCGAAGCTAGAGCAGGAGTAGAGATTGCTGGCCTCGAGCTTGAATCAACTCCAGGAGATGAGGATGAATTTGAAGCAATTGGACGTGCGCAGAGAGAGTCGACTGAAGCAGGAATCAGCGACCTCGCAGCAGAAATCCTGGACGAACCCAGCCGCAAGCGCAAACTGCAGCAAGACAACGCCAAGAAAGACGCCGTCAAAGCCATTTTGGCATCAGCTGGCGTAGAATACACACATGAGAACGCAGAAGTCATCGGCACGTCGAAATGGGAAGCCAAGATTTCGTCGCGAGCACAGAAAGCCGGCAACGACCTTGACTACATCGACGAACGCGCCTTTGCCAAAGCTACCCAAGACTCCCAAGAAGCTGGGTTCGTATACCCACAGGACGACGATGACGACGACGCGATTGATTTGGACGATGGTTTAGGCAAGATTCGGTACAAATACCGCCCTCCAGAAGACGTCCGAATGCGTCAATTCTGCACCATGGCCAAGATGTATGGATATGAGGGCAAAGTTTCGGAGTTTGCTTTGGTGGTCGAGGGCTGGAGTCAGGAGGAGAGGAGGGATTGTTTGGAGAGGTTTTATAAGGATCGGAGAGAGATTTTGGTCAAGCAGCGCTCGAAGTAATGTTTTGGGACGAAGCGCTTGCATCAACGAGTGGTATGTTTTATGGGTGGTATGAGTTATGAGAGAGATACCCACCTTTGCCTTTGCCTTTGCGGGCGAGGCTATGAATTTGCATCATGTTTTTGCTTCGTTTTGTGGGTTCGCTTCTGTCGCGTGTGTGGGTTCTGTGCTTGTAGTGGCAAATGCGATTGGACTTGTGATCAAGTGAGATCTTCGAATCGAGATGCGTGTGCATGAGGTGAGACTGAAAAGCTTTACCTCTTTTGCCGCTGCGCTTCTACGCTCTACGTTCGGCTCTATGCTTTTGATATGAAAGCTGGTAGATGGTACGAGGAGCAGAATTCTAGAAGCCTGAGATCTTCCTGCCAAGGGGATTGCAATGCTTGGGGGTGTTTCCAGATCTTTGGCACATTTGCGAATTTCCTCGAAGATGCTGCCCTCTAATTTACGGCTTTTTGTCAATTCGGGGGTCGATGTTGTGGTGGCCATCCAGCTTTGCCTCCAACAACTCCATTCTTCATCGCCATCAAGTTGACGCCCTTACGAAATCGCATATACGTTCGCCGTCCTGACGTGTTCGAACCACCATTGTTCCCCGTCCGAGATTCAAGAGCAGCGAATGATGATCCCAGAGAAAATTGTTGCCTTTCTTGAGTCACAAGGCCTCAGCGCATGGAACGAGACTGGCACATGAATACCCTCTGCCGATTCCCTCGAAAGGCATATCGCAAGAGCACGATCTCGAAGTCCTCCACGGAATAGCGCCTGCTGAGAGCCCAGCATCAAAACACGGCGAAGAGTGTCCCGAACTTGGTCTGCCAGTCTCTACACGAATCAAGCTATGCTACCCACTCCTTACCCAGCAACCACGCCATACCAGCCATCGACTTGTTCTTCAGTTCTCGGATCATGGACATTCAGCTTGAGAACATGCTCCAGCCTCTTTAATGTCTCTTTGGCTTGTCGCTGGGATGCAACCTCTCCATCTTTCTTCTCTCCTGACTTCCAAAGCTGCTGATACTTCTCCAGCACGATTTCCTCGGTGAAAAGCCACGGGATGGCGATGAAGTGGCCTGTAATTTTGTGCTTCAAATTGGAGTTCAGTTGTTGTGCCGTCACGGATGCCACAGTGCCGCCTGCTTGCAGAAAACCCCCCCAACAACGAATCCGGCATTGAGATTGCCGCCGAATTCCGCTTCGGCATGCTCATCAAGCCAAGTGATACTATCCAAACCATCATGCACCGATTTTGGGAAATTCATGCTCCGGACTGAGTCGATATGCGGCCGATATGACTATTCTACTGCCCCGAAATCTTCTGCGTATTCTCGACCGGGTCGTGTGCACGTCTCCAAGCTCCCGGAAAAATACCCTCCGCCGTGGAAAAAGACGATGAGTGGTGCTTCGGAAGAAAGCTTTGTGGACCGCCAGATCTTCAGCTTCGCTTCGTGTCCATGTGGAAGTTGGATGCTGGGGTAGAATTCTTCGATTTTCTCTGAAATGGGGCCTAATGCTGGGATGAGTTTGGTTTCCATTTCGGCTAGGTCTTGGCGCATGCGCAGAAATTCATGATCTAATCCCGCCATTTTTGATGTTGTGGTTGTGGGAGGTCTGGGGATTGATTGCTGCTGAGGCTGAGTTTTATGCCGCTCGATGGAGGGCGGAAGGATTCGAGCGGCTTGATGAGGTGGTCTTGCTCCTTACAGGCCAACATCGCGATGCAGGCGACATTTTATTTGATGTTGCTGCCTTTGTGAGTACCGTATGTCGTTCTGGAACTGGTTGTGGCAGGCCAACTGAGCTCGACATCTACTCCAGGCAACGATCCGGACAGGTTCAATTGCACGCATATTGGCAACTCGTACAGCGTATGCGGCGAACGCCTTCATCGAGACACGTAGTGACACGCCAAGGCTGCTTGTGCGTCGGCGGGCGCAGATCTGATCACGGCCTTGGCATGACGTCGCAATCGGATGTGATGAGTGAAGGACGACAAAACATTCTGAAGACGTCTCACAACGGCACATGAGCGCAGCAACACCCCACTGCTGCAGCGACAGACTCTCTTACTGAGAAGAGCTGTAGCCTTCTCGGCTTGTCATCGGCGACTTCCTTGGCCCACAAAGCTTCTCCACTTCAAAATCCCCAACTTTCTCAAATTATATACGCACTTTGTGCACCCGTTCTCAACAATACGCTTGTCAGGTTGGTTCAATTCCATCCTTTGAACCTACTCTTCTGAACAGGTCAGATGGCCGAGTGGTTATGGCGCTAGTTTCAGGCTGTGGAAACAGTGTTGAAGACCAAATACTAGTGGGTTATTCCGCGTGGGTTCGAGTCCCACTCTGGTACGTGACTGTTGCTTGAAATTGTTGTGTTGCTTCGGTGACTGATGGGTGAGCAGATCAATATTATAAACTACCCGGCAGTCAACTGTTGGGAGATGTCATGAACACTCTACTTTTTTTGCGATTTTGATTGGATAAGTATCTTGTCTGGCTATTCAATTGCTTTTGGTCTTGTGCGGGTTTCAAGATGTTACGGGAAAGTCTGAAGAATACTTGGGTCTTCTTCTCTCAAGTCGAGACCAGACTACTGACACGAAGTTCTTTTCTTTTGTCTGGACGACGCCTCATATCACGCACCATCCTCATCGCAGCCGGCACGCCCAGTCCTATATCCCCACGCTTGTGCTGTGCTGCGTAAACAAGGTTGCGAGTCTTTTCACAGAATCGCGACCACGGGTATGAGCGCCGAAATCTGGAAATGGAGCTGACCTTGGCCGCAAGCAGTCCATGTAGCTTCGCACGGCATGAAGGCAGTGCAGGCTTGACCTCAGCTACCACAGATCGCTACGAGTCGCGGCGGAACGCGATGTCTTCCTCGAAGGCATGCTCTGGTGTCTACCTTTCTCGTCACATGCGTATCAAGAGCCATGCACCGTCCAGCATTCGTACTGTATCATCATCGCTTGCATGCAGGCGCCTTCTCATCTACTCCGGCTTGAGAGAGCACCTTCAGATCGCAGGGTCATCCTCTCTCTCGCTCGCCACCAATTTTGATCTTTGGAGCTTCACATGGGGCCTCGGAGGTTCGCAATAGGTCTGAGCGCAGGTACAATGACCACCCCGAGTCAGCAGCACAGTCTCAATCTTCGGTGGCAGCGAGGTGGTCTGGCTCCGGCAAGAACAGGTTGGTCATGCTGGTGTCGACGAAGAAGAGAAAGCTGGGCTGGGCTGGGTCGCCGGACGGAGCTGGCAAGTCGAAGCTTCAAGCCGCGGAAATGCTTGGCATCGGGCGCCCGAAGGCATTCTCGCCGACGCCACACACCTCCTGCACTCTTTCTTCTGCACTTCTCTCGCAAATTTTCAGCTTCTTCTCCACATCCCATATCGCAGCTACACGCCATTGATCTCCATTTCCAGTTCTAGGCCATCCGGTGGCGCTATTCTGAGCCTCTCGGCTCGACCCAGCCACTTCAGGTAGGGAGGTCTTCTTATCGCTGCCCAGCAATTTTCGCCTTGTCGCTGCGTCTTCATCTCCTTCTCTCTGCACACCTGTCGCTCTCCGAAATCCTATGTTACTACTAATCTTTAGCGACCATACCGGTACTCCAAGGTCACAGTATACCGGCGCTTTCAGTGGATCCGCTACTGAACAACTGGACTCATTGCATCATTTCACCCAGTCGGAGAGCAAAGCTGCGCAAGTGGGGTGACAAGAGTGTCAGGTGGACAAGAGGCCGGCTACAACACGAACCGCTATAAGCTCTCGAGCTTCTCCTCTCACTGGCCGGCCATCATGGCGATGTTCGAACGACGCGGCTCCATAGAATCTTTCGATCGATGGCGAGCGCAATCACCAACCGGCTCAGAACGCCGGAAATTATCTTTCAACCCAGTGGGAGAATGGACTCCACCTGCAGAACAAATCGCGATCCCGATTCCGGCATTCGAAGTCAGCAAGACCAAGAGAATAGCACAGGTTGCCATTGCTGTCGTATACTGCTTGCTGGCAGCTGGGATTGTCTTCGGCTTTGCGGCCATCAAGCCAGTCTTGATCGCTGAAGGCGTCTACAAGGAGCAATGCACAGATCAAGAGCTTGAGGATGGAGTGTGGGTGTGTTATGGACAAGAGGTGCGGCTGAATCTCATGTTCACGGTGGCGGCAGTCAGCACGAATGTTTGTGCTCTGCCCGTCGGCACAATTCTCGATCGCTTTGGTCCACGCGTCGCAAGTATTGTGGGCGTCGTTTTCTTGTTCATGGGTGCGCTTTTCATGGCATTCGCTGCGGATCTTGCGCAGTACATGGACGCATACATTCCTGGCTATCTCTTCCTCGCACTCGGTGGTCCATTCGTCTTCATCTCGTCATTCCAGCTAAGCAATACCTTCCCTCGGCACTCGGGATTGATCCTTGCCCTTCTCACAGGAGCTTTCGATACCAGCAGTGCCGTCTTCCTTGAATACCGCCTCATCTTCCAGAGCACGAATGGTACTTTCAACACGAAGAAGTTCTTCTTGATCTATCTCATAGTGCCGGTGTTTATCCTCGTCGCCCAGCTCCTCATCATGCCGTCCATATCCTACAAGACAGTTGGCGAGCTCGTGCAACAGGTCGAGGACCAGGAATCAGTCCATACTTCTGACGATGAGATCTCGGATGATGAACAGCGACTGTGGATTCAGAATCGACGCCACGACCATCGCGAGAGTATGGTGTCGGAAGTCACTTCACTACTCGGGTCCAAGTCGGCTGATGGACAAGCGAAAGAGGACGAGCAAAAGGCGCAGCGAAGTGGGGTATTCGGAGCTTTGCATGGCAAGACGGTTCTGCAGCAGATCGCAAGTCCATGGTGGATCCTGATCACCATTTTCACGGTCGTGCAGATGTTGCGCATCAACTACTCCGTGGCCACGGTTCGCACTCAGTGGACCGAGATGCTAGGATCTTACGAAAAGGGCGTCAAGATCAACGAGTTCTTCGATGTGGCTCTGCCTTTGGGTGGTGTCATATCGGTCCCATTCATCGGACTAGTTCTGGACCATACCAGCACACCTTTCGTCCTCGGCCTGCTCGTCAGCATGGCAACCACGATTGGTGTCTTCGGCGTCATTCCTGAGATGTGGTCCGCATACGTCAGCATTGTGTTGTTCGTCGTGTACCGGCCCCTCTACTACACAGCTGTCTCCGACTACAGCGCCAAGGTTTTCGGCTTCGAGACTTTTGGCAAAGTATATGGGTTGATCATCTGCTTGGCGGGCGTCTTCAACTTCACGCAGGCTGGTCTCGACGCCTTGACTCATCAAGTTTTCGGCAACGACCCCACCCCTGTCAATATCATTTTACTGGTCACCGCTCTTGTGGTGGGTATTGTGCTCGTGGGCTACGTTACGCGCAAGAGTATGACACTGCAGGAGGATTTTGTTCGAGAGCAGGCGGACGAGGCGAGGGAGAGATTGATGCAGGTCAATAGACGCCATAGACACGAAAACTATGGCACTTCTTAGTTGGATATCAAGTTTGATGATTGCGCAATTGGATGATGGGTGATTTGTATGCATGGCATTTGCACGGCGACGCACGGCCTGCGGAGGAAAAGTCTTGTGTGTCTCCATTTCAGCGAGGCGTTGGTGGGAAGCGTTGAGTGGGATGTATCACGAATCTCGGCATATTTGTTCAACGCAGTCCACTTGACAGATGTCACGTCAATCATTCGTGCCTCCAACGGAAGTTCCATGTTACGGAGCATCCTTCGCGAGTTTGTCCAACAAAGAAGGTGTGATGGTGTTGCCGCCGCGATGGACTTGGCTGTGATGGGAGATGTTTGAGTATTGCTAGCAAAGGGCAACAGGCTGGCAAACCGTAAGCATCGAAGGCTTATGTATGTCTTCACATGCCAGACGCGAGACAGATCTCCAACCACGCACAGACATGGCACACATGCGGCTCAAATTAGCTCCCGTGTAGCCGCCGGGATCCCTGCCAGCCAACGCGCGCGCTCAAGCGGCAGTGTGAAGTTCAGTTTGAAACGGCGCACAACTTCTATTGTCGGATGCGCGACAATACTCACCTTCACCAGCGCCTACATGACCGCGGTCTATTGGCTGTCGGTCCGCGACAGGTGCCGGTAGGAGGCTGAAAGAACGTCGAAAACCGGGATTTGGAGCTTGTGCGTTTCTGCTCCACGAACACCTCTCTTCCACACGCCCTTCGAGTCGTTCTCGACAATTTATTCTCGACGATTCTACACCGCACGATGAACATATCGCAACTGCACGCGACAATGTCTGGCTATATCCGCACGTGATGCTGTAAAATATCGCCGGCCCGCAGCGTAGAAAGACAGACGTCCTTCTCGTGCGCGGCCGACTCTCCTTCACACTGTCTTTGTGTCTCGTGCTTTCAGCGCATTCACTCTGACAAGGGCCACACCTTCTTTTTTGGTGAGATACAAGGCCCATTGTTACACCTCTCTATTGTTCTTCTTATTGTTGACCGCGCAGGCCGCACCACTCTCGTTGTTGCAGACCTCACATAAAAGCATTGTGCATTTCCGACTCACTCTCACCTCTCCGTGCATTCCAGAAACATTTCGACTCAGCTACCACAGCCATCCTTCACCACTGCGACTTCGAAATTACTCGGCAGGCCCGAATTCTGGAACGTCGCCAACACCTCTTCACCACTTCATGCTGTTTCTACAAAATCGCATCGCAACCTCGAAGCTGGACTTCGACCCTTCCATCAACGCAAGGACAAAGACAAACACCATGCTTACTTTCCACGCCAAGCTCCTAGCCCTCCTCGCGCTCGTCACCCTCTCGCCTCTCGCATCGGCACACTCATGGGTCGAAGAATACCAGGTCATCTCCGACAATGGCTCCTATACCGGCGCTCGCGGTTACTCGCGAGGCTACGTATCCCGAGCTGACCCAACCTACGACGGCTTCTCCATGATGTGGATGCTTCCCTCGCTCGAGGCTCGCAAACCTGACGGCGCTGTCCGATCGCGAATCAACTCTTCCGACTTTCTTTGCCACCCAGCCCAAAGAACTTCCAACTACACCGCAGACTTTCCCAAACTCAACGTCTCTCCTGGCGATTACGTCGCTGCAAAGTACCTCGAGAATGGTCACGTCACTCTCCCATGGAACATCACTGGCAAGCCTCCAGGCTCCGGCACCATCTTCATCTTCGCTACCAGTCAACCATCAGACACCGAGAAGATATCCGATGTCATGGAATGGAACACTGCAGGCACTGGCGGTAATGGCAAGGGATTCCTCTTGACTGCCCAGAACTTTGACGACGGACGCTGCCATCAGCTCAACTGCGGCAGCATTTCCGAGCAGCGTCAAATGCTCACCCCAAATCACGTCGCTGGTCAACCAACCTCGACGGTAGAGAGCTGGTGCGAGACTGACATCAAGATCCCAACCAACCTCACCGCCGGCACACTGACCACCTACTGGGTCTGGCAGTGGCCAACCGAGCCGAACGCCGACTGCAATACGCCCGCCGGCAAGGACGAGTATTACACCACCTGCGCCGACTTCGAGATTGTTGAAAAAGCCGAGATGAACAAGATCGCGGCCACTCCAACGCAATCCGTCCCAGCTGCAGAGGCCAACCCTCAATCTGTGGCCGTTTCCGACTACAAGTCTCGTGCTGCATACACTTCCACACCTTCTGTGGTCATGCAGCAAAACAACAAGATTGTCGGCAAAGTCGCCAGCGTCAACTCCGCCTTTGTCAGCGCTTGCTCCGCCCAAGCACCAGTCATCAGCCAATACAGCCTTGGTCTGTGGCCCGAAGTCTTTGTTCCGAATTCGTGCTCCGTAGTCACCACTTTCGGTCCAGCTGCCGCTTCCGCCGCTGCCAAGGTCTTTGACTCTGCTGCTGCAAGCTACACGTCTGGATCCAAGTCTGCCTGGTCTGCTGCTTTCGCTGCCGCCAAGATCCCGCTTCCGAGCAGAAGTCCTTGGTCGCAAGCACCAAGTACTGGAGCTGCTCAGCCTACAGCCACACATGATAGCTCGTCTCCTTCGACGACTGCGACTGCTCCAGCTTCTTACCCAGCCTCTTCATCCCCGGCTGTATATGTCAGCACCATCACCACAGTCATCACCATGACAGAACAACCTTCCGCCTCCTCAGCACCAGATTCGCCATCCTCATCAGCACCCGCGGCATCAAACTCACCATCACCACAACCCTCGGACCCCCCAACCACATACGGCGCCCCACCCGGCTCCGCACCCGCAATCCCCACCATCTCCACCATCGGCACCGCCGCACCCTCCGCCTACGTCCCCTCTGTCAGTCTCAACGGCACAATTTCCCGAAGAAATCATGCTCGGAATTTCGTACGCTCTTAGTGGGGGCTGTGAGTTTTCCGAGGTTTGATTTTGTATACGGCAGAAATTTTGACGACAGGACGAGCAAGGCAATAAATACATGGGATGGAGTTTTGGGGGTGTTTTTTTTTTGTGTGGCATTTATTTATCTTGGGGGGGAAAAAAAACTTGGGATTGTTGCAATATAGCGTCGGTCTTCAAGGACCTTCTAATGGAATTGGGAGTTTTTTGTTTTTGGATGATGGATGATAGATCGATACCCTTTTGCATTGGATGGGTGCGTGGGGTAATGATATAATCTTCTTTATTTTCAACTTCCTATTTTCTTTATAGACGTACTAAAACGCTTCCGATTAATCATCATACTAATGTGTAGGAGGAGAGATTTTTTTTTTCTTTTGTGGGGTGTAGTGGGTTTCGATTTCTTCGCGCGCCTATTCTTAGATTGAGGGATAGATACGCGGCGAGGGCGAGCGAGGGTGAAGGTTGAGGCTGTGATTTCGTAGCCGGCGAGGTTGATTCGGAGCGTTGGTGAGTGAGGTAGGTGGTGTTTTTGGGACCTTTTGTGTTTGCTTGTTTCGTTGGCTTCGAGGAGACTGGTGGGGGCGGGTTTTGGTGGGTGGCGGAGTACGCTTTCTCGAAAACTTGAACTCTTTCATCGCGGAGAGTTTGAGGGGTTGGTATGCAGGAAGTGGTTCTGTCTATCTGCTTTACAGAAGTCCTCTTGAATCATCTATTTGTGTAGCCGACTAGGCAAGCTGAGCGCCACGCAGGAATGAAGGACTCGGCAATAATCGGCGATACGCCTAGCTGGAGGCGGTCGGCTCAACCTTTGGCCTTGGCTTCGCAAATCAGAACCTCGCACGACTGTACTCTACCTTTTCCAGTCTGCAGTGCGCCGGGCGCCGAGGCTATGCACATAATACATCAAGTAGTCATATTCCCATAACCATGCTTCCATGCCGCAACTACAGCTCCTCGTCCACCTCCATGCCGACATCTGCTTGCGCGTGACCATTCGCGGTGCCGTTGAGCTTGCCGTTGAGCTGTCGCGCTGAGCCAAGACCTTCCGCTGAAGGCACACTCGCTTCCTTATCAATCATCTGCCTCGACACGCTCACGATGTTGTCCTCGATGAGCTCCTGTCCCACAGTCTCGATGTGCTTCTTTGGGTCAACCTTGCCAACATATCGTGTCCGCAGCTGTTCTTTTGTGAGTTCCGTCTCTTCCTTGACCCGCTTCTCGTAGCCTTCCGCCAATGACACCAGCTTCTTCAAGTTCGCCTCATTGCGCGTGCCTTCTGCTGCGAAGTCGGGCATGGTGAGGGCCTCGGTCCAGACGGTCTTGTGCAAGTTCATGAGCATGCCCTCCTCCAGCGCAGTCTTTCGGTAGCCAATGCCGATGCTGTAGTAGTGGCGATTGAGGCCGTGAATGAGTGCTTGAATGGATGGCTTGTTGAGGTGACCCAAGTTGGAAGTGGTCTGGCGAGGCTCTTGTCCGAGCATGAGGGTTTGAGGGTTGATGAGGCGAAAGGCATCGATGACGACCTTGCCCTTGACGGACTGGATGGGATCGATGACAACAGCGACAGCGCGAGGTGTCAGCTGCTCAAAGGACTGCTGGGTGTTGATATCGACCGAGGACAGCCAGCAGCCAAAACCAGGATGCGAGTGGTACCATCCGACAACAGTCTCAGGTCGGCCAGTCTGTCGCAGCATGTCCATCATCTTGGTCTGGAAGACGGGATCTACTGCCTCGACAGACACGCCCGTCCCTGACTGCGGCATGGCAAATACATCCACCACGCGTACTGTGTAGTCGTCCACAAACTCTCCCAGCATCAGACCCATGACTTCCATCGGCACACCAGCTCGGCCGTGTCGCAGCATCTTGAGGAGGGCGAGTGACGAGATGTAGACGGTTTCGGCATTATCTATGATGTTTGTGTCCTGGGAGATGCATTAGCCATCGAATATTTGGCCTCGTATCTCCTTTCTCACGTGTGTGGGAGCGCCACCACTACCGCCCATGCCTTGAGCTGCCGCAAGCATTCTTGATAACCGGTCCATGGCGGCGGCGGCGAGTGTTGATGTGGTAGATCACGGAAGTGTCGTATGGGGTGTTGATGTCGCCCTCGCGCGGATCTGAGCTTCATCGGCGGTCGGATGACGGGCCGAAGCGAAGTAGAGCTGGGCCATTTCCACTTTCGAAAGCACACCGATTGCACTCAGAGCCTCTCCTCGACTTCGCCTCGCGATACGCAGAATGGTCAATATGCCTACGGGAACTGGAGGTTATGCGCCAATCGATACGCCTGCTGCTCCATCACAACCCAAGAAAGTGGCCTACTTCTACGACTCCGATGTGGGTAACTACGCCTACAATGCCGGTCACCCTATGAAACCACACCGTATTCGAATGGCCCATTCCCTGATTATGAATTATGGGCTCTACAAGAAATTGGAGATTTACCGAGCGAAGCCAGCAACGAAATACGAAATGACCCAGTTCCATACTGACGAATATGTCGACTTTCTGCAACGTGTCACGCCAGACAATATGGATGGTTTCATGAAGGAGCAAGGTCGCTACAATGTCGGAGATGATTGTCCAGTGTTTGATGGTCTGTTCGAATTCTGCGGTATCAGCGCAGGAGGGAGCATGGAGGGAGCTGCCCGATTGAATAGAGGGAAATGCGATGTCGCCGTGAATTGGGCTGGAGGACTGCATCATGCCAAGAAGAGCGAAGCTTCAGGATTTTGCTACATCAATGGTATGTGATGTGCTCTTTTCCACCCTGTAAATACTGACGTGTGTAGATATCGTTCTCGGCATTCTCGAATTGCTGCGTTTCCACCCACGCGTCCTCTACATCGACATTGACGTACACCACGGCGACGGCGTTGAAGAAGCCTTTTACTCCACCGACCGTGTCATGACTGTTTCTTTCCACAAGTATGGCGAATACTTTCCGGGTACGGGCGAGCTCAGAGATATTGGCGTAGGAGCTGGGAAGAACTACGCTGTCAACTTTCCCCTCCGAGACGGTATTGATGACAAGAGCTACAAGGGCATTTTCGAACCCGTCATTGGTTGGGTCATGGAATACTACAAGCCTACTGCTGTTGTTCTGCAGTGCGGTGGAGACTCGCTCTCTGGCGATCGATTGGGTTGCTTCAACCTGTCCATGCGTGGTCACGCTAACTGTGTCAACTACGTCAAATCCTTCAATCTGCCAACACTGATTCTCGGCGGCGGCGGCTACACAATGCGAAACGTCGCTCGTACGTGGGCTTATGAGACTGGTCAGCTTGTCGGAGTGGAAATGGGTCCCGATCTTCCTTTTACCGACTACTACGAATACTACTCGCCCGACTTTGAGCTCGATGTCAAGCCCAGCAATATGGATAATGCGAACTCTCCAGAATATTTGGAAAAGATCAAGGCACAAGTCCTCGAAAATTTGAAGCGTACCACACAGCACGCACCATCGGTTCAAATGCATGACGTACCCAGAGAACCTCTTGGTATGCACAATGCCGGGCCAGATGGTGAGGCGGAGACTTTTGAGGAACAAGAAGATCGACTTGATGATGAGGATGCCGATGCAAACAAGGACAAGCGATATACCCAGCGTCAGTTGGATGCCAAGACCACGCGCGATGATGATGAAGACTCTGATGATGAGGAATATGAGGCTGCGAATGGAATCTTACGGCAGCGCAAGATTGGTATAATGGACCATCTCAACCAGCATGCACCCGCCGACGACTCCGGTACTAACACGCCTGCTGAATCTAGAAGCGTCAACGGCGATGCGGAGGACGGAGATGCTATGCAGGTGGATAACAAAGTCGAGGGAGAGGCTGCCGAGGAGGAAGTGAAGCCCACCGCAGCGAAATTGCCAGCGCCAGAGAAAGAGGGCTCTGATGGTGCTATGGAGGTCGATCAAGTCGAAAAGGATGCCGGGGAGGAAGAGGTGAATTCCACTAGCCAGGCCACGAAGGAGAGTGGTAAGACAGAACTCCCAGCCCAGACTTGGTCTTAACTTTCTTCCTTGTAGAAGCAGATACAGATTTTCGATTGATGTTAGCGAGGCGTTTAGGATGGTACACAGACCTAATTAGTAACGGCATTAAAACAATGAGCTTCTTCACGGTCTGCTGCAGAGTCGTATACGATGATGTCCTCGACAGGGTGGCGGCTGTTGCAATCACTATTATTATCCTGCGGATTCATGCCGATTGCGTGATGCCAGGATTTGGTATTGAGTTCGTCGGGCTGTCGTGCACAGAAATTAGAATCGTTATCTCTGCGAGATTCACCCAGCAGAACGCCTCGAGACTAAACCGAGCCCCAGCTACCCGCCCGAGCCCCAGCATAACCCGGTGCTAGCACCATTGTAGAATCGCCTCTGTATCAAATTACGTGCTCTTTCCGCCTAATATAGGCTGTTTCTATTCCTAGTTAGTATTGTTAATGGGCGCGTAGCGTATTACCTAGGAAGTCGCGCCTCGAATTCTACCGTAGACCTAAAGTTCGCATTTCTTCCCTCTTTTGTAGTAGATTGCCTAGTAACTACCGAAAATGGCTGAATCTCCATCCTACGACGAGTTTCTCGATAAAGTTATCGCCGGCGGTAACGGCGCGGCGGCGGCGGCGGCGGCGGCGGTAGTTGTTAAGTCGTAGGAAGAGGTAGAAATAGCGATAGAAGGCGCGCTCTCGGCGGTAGTTGTTAAGTCGTAGGAAGAGGTAGAAATAGCGATAGAAGGCGCGCTCTCGGCGGTGGTTATTAAGTCGTAGGAAACACGTATTCGAGGTCGCAGTCGCTTACTAAACGTGCCTCGAGAACGTGTATCGCTTCCTAACTATCGATTAGTGTTACTACGCCCTTAGAAGCACCTATTCTTACTAAAGGAGCGCTCTCGTAGTCTAATACCGCGCGAGTCGTAGTTTCCGTCTTATCGAGCCCTCGAGTCGTACGTCTATACCTTCGGAAAGGCAACTAGATACGAGTTCAAGCAGTATAAACCGCAGAAGAATAAGAATGGTATAAAATATCGCTACCGCTAGGTATATAGTTGCTTCGGCTTACTAGATAAGCGTACCTAGAAGCAAGAAGTAATAAAGCGGAAGTCAACCTCGAAGAAGATAGGCTATTAGTTCTACTTCTACGTAGTTGCTATCGACCCTAGCTAGCCTAAAGGTTAATAGGTTATCCGTCATTCTACTAAAGAAGATTACTGTTTCTATAACTACGAGAAGGACGATATTGTCGCTCTTGCTACGTATAGGCGTCGCTCGAGAACTACGGAGTTTCTCGAGCAATTAGAGCGCTTATAGTAGGCTCGAATGCCAACCTCGAAGATTATAGCCTATTTCCGCGGCCGTAGCATTATTCTTAAACTAAAGGACGTACGGAATGTTATATAGGCTCGTAATATAGACGCTCGACAATAGATGAACTAGGCTTAGCGCCTAGTTTAATTGCTTATCGACAATAATATATACTACGACATCTATACTAACCCCGAGAACGGTACAATTCGATGTATAGTTGCCCTCTACCCTAAGTCTATCGAGGCCTTTAAGACTACACTATACACTCTTATTATCGACACTATATACTCTACTAATATCTATAACCTCGAGTTATTAGATATTGTCGCCGCTAGACCTATAAATAACACTATTAAGCTTAGTGTTAGCCTTGTCCGTCCGAAGCTAGATAAACCGGACTTTGTAGAGTTGTTACGCTTACTACGGAAGGGCCTCGAATAAGCCGGTTGTCTAATGCCCCTAGTTATTAGTACTAATCGCGAAGAGTTACTAATCTACGCTATTAAGGAGGTTATACTAGAAGCTAAGAATATCGTATATAACTAGCATCTATAGCAAGATGTATTAACTCGTGTCCGTAAGGAACGGGGGGAGTTTAGATAAGTGAAGAGCGCTAACGGTAGCTAGATTGACAGTCCGCAAACTAGCAAGTTTCTACGGTTGTTTACTTATATAATCTATAGCCAGACTAAAGCCGAGTTTAATAAGAACGTACGGAAATTAGATAACGTGTATCCTATATTCAAGGCCTATCTTAATAACAACTAGTAGCGATACAAGGTCTATATCGTAGACTACTAGACCAACGAAGTTCTACACTTTAGTTGTAAGACAACCTCGCGAGTTAAAGCTACGTATAGACGTATTAAAGTCTAGCTTAACTATAGCAGCCGCTACGATATCTTTACCTTATTTGAGAGCCTTCTCAACTAGTAGAAAGAAGGGCATAACCGTCGCCGTATTCGCCTTACTAAGAACCTAAAGAGGTATAACAAGGCACTTACTAGACTATTTTAGGCAAGCGTTTCTCGAGTTGTAAGCGATTACTACCTTCTCGAGGTAAAGGTTCTATACTAACGCGCTAACGACCTCCTACGGACTACAACTAACGAGAATAGCAACGAGATTAAGCACTCGGCGTACTCGTATACCTACTTACAATACCGCTATAACGACTACCTTAGCAAGACCTATAGTTATCCTTACAAACACGACATTATAAAGCTTCTCGAAACAGGTAGAAGCCGCGCTATACTATTGCCGAGCCACTTCTATAAGCACTAGTTAATTGATTTCCGTAGAACGTTCAATCTACGAGAACCGGAAGTAATCTTTAGCAACCGCAAACCTCTTACTAGCGGAGCTACATTATATACTACAAAGCGAGTAGCAACGGCTCGAGAACTAGATAATTTGAATAAGACTATAGCGGCTAAGAAGCGGAAGACTTTAATAGCAAGAATAGCGGACTTTATACTCGAGCCTAGCGTATCGCTTACTTAGTTAAGAACCACCGTTAAGCACTATAAGTACGTAAAGAGCTAATGCCGCACTTAATAGTGCCCTTACTAGAAGGCTAATCGACCGTATAGCTCTACTTGCTATCTAAGCGGCTTCGAGTATTATAATCTACGAGTTGAGCCTTTATTATTACTTCTAGCCGCTCCGGAGCTACCTTCTAAGCTAGATCTACTTCGCCGAGAGATTGAGGACCTTCGAGTATATAAGAACAACCGTCTATAGTTAGAAGAACAGCAGGCAAGACAATAGGTAGAACATAACCGCTAATAGGCGGCATTCTATAAGTAATAACGACAATAGGCTGCTTAGTACTACCGCTAGCAGTTATCGCTTATATAGCTAGTGCGGCAGACAATAAGCCCTCTATACTATAACGTACTACAACAATAGCACTATTAGTTTACTTAGCACTATTAGTTTACTTAGTAATAGCAGTATACTAGTTAGCAGCTAAGAGACTAGTATAAGCTAGTATATATAGCTTCGCGTAGTTATAAGGCGGCAGGTCGCAATCCGCTTAGACCTAAGTAGATAGCTAACAACTAACAACATCTTGAATTTTGCTATACTACTAATTTGCTAACAAACTTTAGCTTCATAGCTGCTAGCGGTAGTATAGTGGTTGCCCGGTCGGAGGGGCTGCAGCGACGCGATTATCCGCTTCTACACGCGATTTTGTATAGAACAGCCGATCTCGTAATCTCGGGTTATGCTGGGGCTCGGGCGGGTAGCTGGGGCTCGGTTTAGTCTCGAGGAGCAGAACGGCCTGGATCCCCTGTATTCTAATAAGTCGTCGACCAGATTTAAGTTTAAGCCGTACGCATTCGTCTGCTCTCATTTGCGACTGCGTTCATCGCTCAGAAGGTGCGCGATGATGAGATGGAGTCTGGCCTTTCTCATCCTGGAATCTGTATCTGGAAGCGTCATCATTCCAGATACGCACGCCGTGCACGAGGAGAGATCTTCGCATCATGCCTGGAGTAGAAATGGCCGCGTGCATTCCACATCAATGGTCCCTCTGCGCATTGCCCTGACTCAGCAAAATCTGGACGACGGGACTGGCTATCAAAAGTTGATGGAAGTGTCCGATCCAGAATCTCCTCGATACGGTCAATATCTGAGCGCAGAGGAGGTCCATAATATGTTCGCACCCAGCTCTGATGCAGCGCAAGATGTTACCAAATGGCTCCTTGAAGCTGGCGTTAAGCAAGACGACATTTTCGAATATGAGAATAAAGGATGGCTGGCCGCTCATATTCCTGCTGAGATGTTTGAGCAGCTCTTTCATGCGGAACTCCACGAATACGAGCATAAACTTACTGGAGAGCTGAAGATTGGATGTGATGTATACCATCTTCCGAAGCACATTACCAAACATGTCGACTATATCACGCCTGGAGTTGCCCTGTCTGCAAGAGTGCGGAAGAGGAACGTGAAGCGGTCTTTGCAGCGGAGAGCCTTGCATACCTCGCACATGATTGCAGAGGATTTTGGGCCGCCGCCTGTAAATGCTGCAGATTTGCGAAAAGACCTGTCCGATTGTGGCCGAAACATGACCATTGCCTGTCTGAGAGCTCTTTACGGTATCCCAAAGCCTACCAAGACCGACTCGGTCGACTCGGTCAACTCGGTCGACTCGCTCGGCATGTTTGAGAACTTCTACAGCTACGCTCAACAAGATCTTGACGAGTTTTATACCAGATATTATCCTGAAATCCCAAACGGCACCCACCCGATCACCATCTCGGTCGATGGAGGCGCCGGTCCAGCCATTAATCGAACTGTCAGGGAAAGCGGTACAGAGCCAGCACTTGATATCCAGGTCGCTCTTCCTCTCATTTACCCTCAAACAATTACGGTCTATCAGGTCGAAGATCCACCACAGGCAGCATTGCAAATCAATCAGACCTTACCTGGGTATCTTAACACACTCCTCGATGCTCTGGACGGCAGCTACTGCAACTACTGTGCCTATGGCATATGTGGAGACGATCCAACCTTGGATGCCGTCTACCCGGATGAGCGACCTGGTGGATTCAACCAACCACGGCAATGCGGCGTATACAATCTCACTCGTGTTCTCGCCATCTCATACGGACAAGGCGAGCAAGATCTTCCAGTTGCTTACACAAGACGGCAATGCAACGAGTTTATGAAACTTGCCTTACAAGGACACACGATTGTCGTTTCATCCGGAGACTGGGGCGTTGCATCTTTTCCGAACGATACCGGCACTGCTAATGGATGTTTGAGCGGTTGTGGTTTCAACGACACCTTTTATCAGCCTGGCGATAATTGCCCTTATGAGGATCTCAAAGGAAAAGTCTTTCATCCTTCCAATCCCGGTAATTGTCCTTTTGTTCTTTCGGTCGGCGGGACGCAACTTTTTGTGAGTGGCTGAATCATAATATACGACCTTGACTGATCAATTCAATAGTCTAATCAGAGCATCATCGACCCCGAAAGTGCCCTGCACCTCCCTGCCAGCAATACCACTTATATTTCGACCGGAGGTGGTTTCTCCAATTATTTCGCCAGACCCAGTTACCAAAAGGAGGCGGTTGATGATTACTTTGAGAAGCACGATCCTGGGTACAAATATTATGTGAGATTGTCGATCAATACGTCCTGACCTCTCTTTCTGACGTGGCATGCTGTAGTATGCAGACGCCAACGTCACCAATATCGGCAGTCACGGTGGAATCTATAATCGAGGCGGCAGAGTCGGTCCTTTCTCTTCTTCTTTTTTGCGTTGCTGATATAAGTTTGTCAAGGGCTACCCCGACGTCTCAGCCAACGGTGCTCGTTACCCCGGTGTCAAGTGGAGGCAATTTAAGAACGGGACCGTCACGACGGATGAGACCTTCTATGGAACTAGTCTTTCCTGTCCCATCTGGGGCGCTATGATTACTTTGGTAATGTTCTTCTCTCTTGCTGAAGATTAACGCTGATCTTGTCAAGATTAATCAGGAACGTACGGCTGTCGGGAAAGGACCCGTGGGGTTCATCCAGCCCGTTCTATACAAGCACCCCGAGATCTTCAATGATATTACTAATGGGACAAATGATGGCTGTGGGACCAAGGGTTTTGAAGCTGTCCAGGGTTGGGATCCGGTGAGTGACCTAGGCCGTGTCTTGCTGGATGTGCTGACTGATAGATGTACAGGTTACCGGTTTAGGCACCCCCAATTTTCCCAAGATGTTGGAGGTTTTTATGAATTTGCCGTGATGTGGCGAATGTGCTATGAAAATTGCACTCTTGACATCTCCTTCTATCAGTCCGTCACGCTCCTTCTCGAGAGCATACTGGATCAACATCTTGTCTTTAAGCGTCAGTCGTCGTCAAGAGCGGAAGTAAGAAGAACTGTGCTCATCCTCGTTCTCGTTCTCAACAACAGCTGCCCGTTTGACTCTCATACATTGATCCGAGTAAGGCTAGGAAGAGTTCGAGGATAACTGCCTTGATCTCCTGCTCCCGTCTAACGTTGACTCGAGAAGAGTAGACGTTTCTTCTGCCTACAATCGAATCGCTCGACTAGGCAAGGATCAAAAATTCTCAGATGACATCTCCTTCTGGCAGGCGGAGAAAGATTTGGCGAGCTGATCCTGGAGCACACCTTCTCATGCAGCCTCACATCCTGGCCACCACCGCCCTCTTCATATCATCTCTCGCCTCACACTGGTCATGTCCCTGTATGTACCTTCCCACCCGGGTCTGATCGTCCCTCTACACCCTCCCCTTCACTGGAAAGATGTTTGAACGAGCTGAGTGTGGGCATTATAAGAAAACATGTGCTTGTACGCGGCTGCGCGTGCCTACCAAGTGCGAGCGCACGAACATTCTCTTTTGCTGCCTACTGTCCTGCTTCTCTTTCTGTTTCTTGAATAGCGTCGTCTAGCTGTATCGTCTTGCGCAGTACGTAGCGCGTATGAATTGCGTCGTCTAGTTGCATCGTATTGCGCCGTACGTAGCGCGCATACTTCGTGCTCCGAACCGGGTGTTGTAGGGGTGCAGTTGGCCCGCTGTCGTGCTTTGTTATTGAAAGTTGATGTCTGAGGGTGACTGTGTAGCCCTAACCCTAACCCCAGCCCGAGCCCGAGTCAACACCGATATGTACCCGAGAGATGCCCGAATGCCGAGGCCCGGAGATAAGCTAAGTCCGAGCCGAATCCGAGCCGCATCCCGAAAGCGAGCCGTAACGCGAAAGCGAACCGCAACGCGAAAGCGAGCCAGATTCCGAATCCGAGCCGCATCCCGAATCCGAGCCGATGCGAAAGCGACCCGCATCCCGAACGCGAGCCGTAACCCGAACGCGAGCCGTAACCCGAACGCGAGCCGTAATGCGAAAGCGAGCCGCATTCCGAACGCGAGCCGTAATGCGAAAGCGAGCCGCATCCCGAATCCGAGCCGCATCCCGAATCCGAGCCGTAATGCGAAAGCGACCCGCATCCCGAAAGCGAGCCGCATCCCGAATCCGAGCCGTATTCCGAATGCGAGCCGTAACGCGAAACCGAGCCGTATCCCGAACGCGAACCGTATCCCGAATGCGAGCCGCATCCCGAATGCGAGCCGCATCCCGAATGCGAGCCGTAATACGAACGCGAGCCGCATCCCGAATGCGAGCCGTAATACGAACGCGAGCCGCATCCCGAACGCGAGCCGTATTCCGAATGCGAGCCGTAACGCGAAACCGAGCCGCATTCCGAAACCGAGCCGCATTCCGAAAGCGAGCCGTATTCCGAACGCGAGCCGCATCCCGAACCCGAGCCGCATCCCGAATCCGAGCCGTAATGCGAAAGCGACCCGCATCCCGAAAGCGAGCCGCATCCCGAAAGCGAGCCGTATCCCGAATCCGAGCCGTATCCCGAACGCGAACCGCATCCCGAATGCGAGCCGCATGCCGAATGCGAGCCGCAACGCGAAAGCGAGCCGCATCCCGAATGCGAGCCGCATGCCGAATGCGAGCCGCAACGCGAAAGCGAGCCGCACTCCGAATGCGAGCCGCAACGCGAAAGCGAACCGCTACGCGAAAGCGAGCCGCACTCCGAAAGCGAGCCGCATTCCGAAAGCGAACCGCATCCCGAATCCGAGCCGTAACCCGAACGCGAGCCGTAACGCGAATCCGAGCCGCATGCCGAATGCGAGCCGCAACGCGAAAGCGAGCCGCATCCCGAATGCGAGCCGCATGCCGAATGCGAGCCGCAACGCGAAAGCGAGCCGCACTCCGAATGCGAGCCGCAACGCGAAAGCGAACCGCTACGCGAAAGCGAGCCGCACTCCGAAAGCGAGCCGCATTCCGAAAGCGAACCGCATCCCGAATCCGAGCCGTAACCCGAACGCGAGCCGTAACGCGAATCCGAGCCGCATCCCGAACGCGAGCCGTAGCGCGAAAGCGAGATGCACAATGCAGGAGAGAAGAGACATCTGCTGCTACGACCCAGCTTCAACTATATCACCGAATGCTCTGCTCCTTGTTAAATGGGTTCTTGCCTTGCTTCTAGTGACCACCGCCCGACAGATCCCGCAGGTAATCGCACGCCTCGACTCGCTCCTGCGCACTCAACCGATTGAATCCAGTCACGAACGCTGTCTCGCTAGCCGCCCCGGTGCTGTTGGGTGCGGGAGGCGAACCAGGCAGGTTCAAGACGATGAACTTGTCACGCAGACCCTGGTGTTTGAGATCACAGCGCTCGGCTCTGAAGGTCCGGGTGAGGGAGCAGCTGGTCGTCGAAGTTTTCTCTCTTCCTGTCCTAGACCTGTCCGATGACCTCACGAGCAACCGTGCCGCCATATGCCAAACGGAACAGCGTCTCGTTCGGCAACACGTCCTTTGCGGTGGGATCCATAACGTTGGCCCATGCGGTGTTAGTGCGAGGGAGCGCCATACATAGTGCGCAGCAGGGCGTCGGCCATGATCGTGTAGATGCGCGTCTCGATGCACTCTCGAACGAGGCCGGTCGGCTCCTCCGCGGCGTCTTTTGGCATCATTGTTTTGGAAAGGGTAGTCTCGCATAATGACCTCCATGTCTTCCGGGCACAGGTAGAGCGAATCTGCTCAAGTAACCGCAATTCGTACTTGTGCTGCAGACCGTCACTGGGTGTTCTTGGCCTATGCGGTGAAGTCGACCGCCAGCTTGACACTTGATGCGGAACGAAACGGCGTCGAGCATGACTGTGAGCTGCCTTCTAATGGTTGGCGGACTCGGCTCCTATACGCGAAGAGATGATTATAACGCGAACGTTGGGTCGTTTAGGAAGGCGCGCTCGGCCAGGACGCGGCTGCATCATGATATGTGATGGTCACGTGATATGCCAAGAGATTAGTCATGTTCTGGGACCCACTCCGTTTTGTTCGACCAATCGGCTTTGCCCCTTCCACTTCAGCACCCTACATATATTGTCCTAAGGAAGGTGGTCACACGCTTCGCGTGCGCCTCCCCCCTCCCTTGGACACAATAAAAATCGCTGCACCTCGCCGACGCCGCATATATTGCCCGGTCGGTATCTCCATTGCCCATTTCAGCACTCTATCTTCACTTCTCTTTGGGCTCTCTCCTTCGGGGCTCTACCTCATGTGCCCGTCACTGGTATCCTACAACACTTCACTTGAGATGTAACTGATAATGTTCAGAAGAGGGCTAATCTACAGAAAGCCCGAAGATGAAGTGCATCATTCTGGCAACGGGATCCCGTGCCTTCTACGTGGTTCGCTTCACTTCTGAAACCGATGCGAGAGCTTGCGTGCGGCAGGGTGTTCGCTACCGTTTCGAGCGGCGCAAGACAACGCAGTAGCAGCGCGACATGGAGCCACCACAGCGCGACATAGCGCTACCTAACGACCTCTTCGCGTGTCAGCGTGATACCGTCGATGCCAACGAGAGCGCCGATGCCACCGAGAGCCAGAGCGCCGATGCCACCGAGAGCGCCGATGCCAACGCGAAAGCCGATGTCAGCGAGAATGCCGATGCCAGCGAGAATGCCGATGCCAGCGAGAGCGCCGATGCCAACGAGAGCGAGAGCGCCGATGCCAACGAGAGCGAGAGCGCCGATGCCAACGAGAGCGAGAGCGCCGATGCGAGCGAGAGCGCCGATGCGAGCGAGAGCGCCGATGCGAGCGAGAGCGCCTAATCGAGGCTGCGGCAACGCCTCGCCAGACGACAACTACGGCGGCACCTTTGACGACCTCGAGGACATCGACGATTATCGCTATCGCACGGTTCCTGACATTCTCGGCGGGCCCGACACGTACGACCCTTTTGTTTGGAATGACGAAGAAGACGGAGCAGCTGGGAGCCAGCCATCTGACAATGGCGAACGCGACGTGACAGTGGCACAGAAGATCGCCAGATTCAGAAGCCAGGCCGCCGTGGCAACGGAGCCTTTTTTAGACTGTGAGCCAGCCATCTGAAAAAGGCGAAGGCGACGTGATAGTGGAGCAGAAGATCGCCAGATTCAGAAGCCAGGCCGCCGTGGCAACGGAGCATCGTTCGCAACGACGATGATCCAGCACCTCATCGCGCACCTCGACCAGGACAGCGCGAGCGTGCCCGCGCAGATCGACAAAAAGCAGGACCTTCGCAACCATTTCCTCACTACCGATCCAGTTGATCCACCGATTCAAGTACGCACCGATCTTGATGGCCAAAAGGCTCTTGTCGACATTGACTACGACTTAGTCAAGGACTTCTTTACTGCATTGGAAGAAGAGAAGATGGAGACCTGCTGGAATGAGGAACTGCAGAAGGGATGCAAAGAGCGTTGGTTCAATATGCAACTGGACACCCGCGAAGACTCTCCTACATACAATATCTGCAAGAAGTGCCGTTCGACACGCGACTTCAGCAAGCGGCCTGAAGAGCCTGATCTTATATCAGCAGCCAACCTCATGGACCCAGGCGAGTACCCAGCACACCTGCCGAAGCTGACGATGGTGGAAGAGATCCTGATCGCACGTGTTCACGTATACGTCGAGCTGCGGCTCATCAAGGGCGCTCAGTACCGATACAAGATTTCATATGAGAATGAAATGCCGTCTTCATCGTTCACGCCAATCAAGGCTGGCAACAAGACTGGCAACAAGACTGGCAACAAACTGACAACAAGCCCAAGCCTGAGAAGAGAAAGAGGAACAAGGCAAGGCCGACTTGTCGAAGAGGCCAACGATGAGGAGACCAGCCAGCAGGGCGACACGACTCCTCCGCCAACCAAGAAGGCCAAGAAGACGACATCCAGCAGCTAAGACGACGTCGTCGGACAACAAGAGGGCCCATGCCAGAGCTCAGACTGCTTGGCCCTACAGACTCAGATCAGTTGACGGCTAAGTAGAAGGAGACGCGCAGCAAGATACTCGGAGAACGAAGAGACCTCGTGCGAGATCTCGAAGTCAACA